CCGATCGCGGAATAATAAAGGTGAGACCGCATTTAGACGATACGGACTAGTTTCCGTATCCGATATACGCAAAATCAATACCCTCTCACATTTTAGTCCCGATACGGCACGTATGGTCCTGCATAATGGGCATCGAGCAGGCCATAGAAGACACCACGGAGGACGAGTTTGAGATGGAGTACGCCGACGAAGTCCTCCGATGCGTGAAATTTTGGTGCACCATATTCGCCGAATGGTCATTCACGCATTTGGTGTCCTCCGTGCCGAGAAGCGACGAAGAGATTCGACGTACAAGCGCCGAATTGTACGGCAATTATATAGAAGCGTTCTCCGTTCGGACGTTCCTCCGACGTTGCCGCGAGATTTGGGTGGAACACAGCAGCCTAGCAGTAAGAGTGGCGGATACCACCATCGACTCGGAAACAGTTGTACAAAGTTCTCTATCGCCGAGTAACAACTTTGCCATCATTGCCCGCATGGCACTAAAAACGGCCGGTAACGAGCGAGAATATCAAGAGTCGCTGCGTACGTTCGTCGAGGAAAACGTACAACTGTTTCCGATGTATCTAGTGACGCAAAAATCTCATTATTATCTGTGGAAGGTTGTGAAGAAACGTACCGATACGCCGCGGGAAGTGAGAGAGAGGATAGATTCGATAAAACATCAACTAAGGAGAATACGTCAGGATCGAGAGATCCTATTGGACGAGAACGTCCAAGAAGCGTCGTCGTCGTCGTCGTCGTCGTCGTCGTCCCTTGCTTCTCGTCACGTGGACTCGGCCGGGCCGTCCTCGCCACCGTCTCAGATCTCGGTAACTCGTACCGGAACTGTATTTCGGTCGAGTCGATCAACGTCGTCGTCGTGGTCTCCGACCAAAAGACCGATGAATCGTCCGAGGTTGTCGTCCTCCGACGACTCGTCCGCACGAGACGCGCCAATCGTGGGGACGACGGAACTCTCCGCTTCGTCGACAAACTCCGATATGCCGAATCCACCAAAATCGACGAGACGAGTGTCGCGACGGATATCGTCGGGCGATTCAAGCAACGAAAGTGTTCCGAACGCGGAAGAGATTCCGGAGACCAAAATAAAAATGAGGTTGCGCTATTTTAATAGGCAGCAGGACACCGTGTTATTGAAACACGCCATAACCACGGGCAAGATTGTTAATCTCCATTCGTGGTTATGCCTGAAAAGTATAAAGCCTCTCATTTTTACAAAACCGCGATACACTCCGTCCTGCATGCGGTACAGAGTAATGCAGATAGCTGCGGGATTACACGACGCGGATTTCGGCTTTACCTATAAAGAAGAACTGGACATGCTACGAAAATTGGTCCGCGCGCAAATGAAAAGACGGCTAACGATATAAATCGTAATAGCGATGTACATATGTAACATAAGTAATAACGATGTAATTAAACATAATTTTTTTAATAATAAGAATAACAATAACAAGGGCTCTTTAATTTTTAACACAATATATTCCATTCCTCTCAGCCAATAGAGCCACACGCGATGTAATTACGACAATTAAGAAAGACAGAAAATTTTGGAAACTAAGGAATATGTATTCTAATCATACGCTTTGGGGGTATAAACATAGAGAAAAATATTGATTTGTAAGTGTCTGAATAGCTCAGCTGGAAGAGCAGTCGCCCGGCAAGCGGAAGGTCTCGGGTTCGATTCAGCTGAATTTCGGAACAATATTTTTCTCGCTTATTTCTTTACAGGGGAAGTTAGGAGAAGGAACAAGGAGGAATATCTCAGATCCCAACCATAGGATCATAGGATTCAACTTGTAGACTTAGAATTCCTGTGCGTCAACATTATAGATATGTACAATTACATATATATTGCTAGATATTGCTTAAATAAGAATTCGTTACATCATAGGCGGGGGAGGGGCGGAGCCCCTCCCCCCTGCACCCCCCTCCCCGACTGCTCCTTAACCTGGGGGGCTTCGCCCCCCCGAAACCCCCCGAGTTTTCTTTTGGCTAGGGGGCTTCGCCCCCCAGACCCCCCTTGTAGGTACGGGCTGACCTAGGGCGGGTTATGGAGGGCTTCACCCCCCATCAGGGGGGCCAAGCCCCCCCCCCCCCCTTTATCTACTTCTCTGGTAATACTTCGATTTTTTTCAACACTCCCGTTTTCAGTCACTTTTTCACGCTCCATAAACAGTACATTTTGAACATAAATTTTAAGAATTTCAAAGAAAATGGGGAAAACAATTAAAAATCAAAAAACATTGAAAAAAAATAAAGTATTACAATTGAAACAAAATGGACCAAAAAATTTTAAATATAAATTGAAAAAAAGTTGATAAACAAAAAAGGTGAGGTCCAAAACGCTTTTCTCGCCATTCTCTATCGACTGGAGTACATCTGTCGAGGTCGATTTTCGAGTCCGCATAGCCTACTGGAACTTGGAAAAATTTAGACGAAAAGTAAAAATTGAGATATCGAAGCGCCACCTGGGCCAAAATTTGATTCGTGAAAAAGTTCACTCGATTATAAAAAAAAAAATTTCGAAAAAAAAAATTCGAGATATCGAAGCGCCACCTGGGCCAAAATTCGATTCGCGAAAAAGCTCACTCGATTATGAAAAAAAAAAATTTGGAAAATTTCAAAAAGTATGTAATACACCCATAACCCTAACCTAACCTAACCTTGATACGTTTACCCGCGGCCCAGGCAAATCCGCCATCACCGCCTGAGATGCTGCCGGCCTACACCTGAAGCACGCTACGCATTCGCGTAACACCCTGCGAACCGCTGAACGTGCCGCCAAGGGCCAATAGCGCTGACGCACCGCGCATATCGTGGCCTGCAGTCCCGCGTGCAAGCTCCTAACGTGCTCTCCTCGAATAATTAGCGTTGTAAGAGCGTGGCTTTTCGGCAGCAGCATGGGGTGCACCGCATCCAGCGGCAACGCCGCCCAGCTTATTCTACCTCCAACGCGAATGACGCCACACTCGTCCATAAACGGTGACAATGATAATATGCGACTCCCGCCGCCGATGCTCCGGCCCTCGCCCAAACTGCGATATTCCCCCGGGAACGACCCGCGCTGCACACAACGCACCACGACTTGCATGGCCGCGGTCATCTCCCGATAAGATATCGATGACCCGATCTCCTCAGCCCGTCGCGTACGACCGAATCTCAAACAATATGATATTATTCGCAATATTTTCTCCAGGCTCGAAAATCTCTCCAATAAACCCGAGACTATCGGTCGATCTCCGACCGCCACGGCAGCGATCACTCTTTTCTGCTCGTGCAGTTCTCCCGATATCTCGATGTTTCTAATCGGCCAATGTCCCTCGTTAAGTCGAAGGTACGCCGGTCCTTCCCACCATAGACCAGACACAGCCAGAGCCGCCAAGTCCGCGCCACGCGATAATATATCGGCCGGGTTGTCCGCGGACGGCACGTGTCGTCAATCCGCGCCCTCGGTCAAGCGCTGTATCTCCCCGACTCGATTCGCGACGAACGCGCTCCATTTTCGCGACAAAGACTGAATCCATTGTAATGTAATGGTGGAGTCCGACCACAGAACCACCCCCGCGGCGGGAAGTCCGACCGACTCTCGAACCTTTTCTATCAATTTGGCCAACAGTAGCGCCGCGCTCAGCTCTAAGCGCGGTAATGATATTGCCCTCATAGGCGCGACTCGCGATTTTGAGACCAATAACCGCACTCGGCATTCTCCGGAGTTGTACGCTCTCACGTACACGCACGCACCATAGGCACGCTCGCTCGCGTCGCAAAAGCCGTGCAGCTGCACACCCCCGGCATCGATCACGCGGCCCACGAAACGCGGCACGCGTAACTCACCGAGATTCGTCAATTGCTGTTTTACTCCCAGCCAACGCGTATGTATGTCCTGCGGCAGCGACTCATCCCATCCGACCTGCGTCTGCCATGTGTCTTGCAGAATTAATTTTGCTACTACCGTCAATGGCCCCAGCAGCCCCAACGGATCGAAAAGGCTCGCGATCTCTGATAAAATTGTTCGCTTGGTTATGCAATTGGCAGGCGATCCGCTCTCATAATCGAATTTAAAACTATCGATAACGGGATCCCACGCAATTCCCAGGATCTTAGAGCTCGAGTCCCCGCCCAGAGACACGCTCGCATCCGTCGCGCCCTCCACGTCCTTCAATAATTCTCGGCAGTTTGATGCCCACCTGCCGAGCTCGAACTTTCCGCGCTTCAGTAGCGCAACCGTCTCCTCGCGTACGCGCCTCACCTCCGACAGGGTGTTAGCGCCGTTGAGCAGGTCGTCGACGTAAAAATCCCGGAGCACGCATCCCGACCCGATCGCGAATTCGTCCGCATGTTTTTGTGCCAGGTGCTGAAGGCACCTGGTGGCCAGGAACGACGCCGAACTCGTACCGTACGTGACCGTCAGCAATTCGTATTCGCCGATCGGCGCCCCCGAGTCCTCTCGCCACACTATCCTGTGCAGATGCGTCTGCGATTCGTGCAGCAGTATCTGGCGATACATTTTGATTATGTCCGCCACGAAGACATATACGAATGTTCGAAAACGCATTAATATTGTTATCAATTCTTGTTGAATCACCGGACCTATTCGCAAAGCCTCATTGAGCGAAACTCCCGTGCTGGTTTTGCACGAGGCATCGAAAACCACGCGTAACTTCGCGCATGGACCGGTCCCCTTTATTACTCCGTGATGCGGCAGATATACAGGTTTACCCCCGATCGACCTTGCAGGTGCGACTCTCATGTGCCCCAACGATTGATATTTGCGTAAGAAATTTGCGTAGGAGCGCTTCAAACCCGGGTCGCGGTTGAGCCGCTTCTCGAGCGCAAACGCTTTATCGCTGTTTCGCGCGATTCGCCGAGCCGTTGAAATATGTCCTCTTTTAGCGGCAATTTCACGATATATCGGCCTTCATCGTTCGTCGACACGTTCGTCATGAAGTGACTTTCGCAAGCCTGCTCGTCGCGGGTATAACCGTTAGAATCTGCTAATTCCTCGATCCTCCAAAATTGATCAACTCGTTCGTGGAGCTGCGCGTTATTAATTGTCGCGTGTAACGCACGCAATTTGGCGCTCGATCGTGAAGTGCCCCACCCGTACGCCCGGCCAAAATCCAGCCTAGACGTGTTTTTTGTAAAAGAGGGTGCTCGGATGTCGCATGAATTTGGCCCACGCACGCCAGCCGCCAAAATAAGTCGATCCCGATCAATAAATCGATGTCGGAAAATACGTTAAATTTCGGGTCCGCTAGATCGATGCCGGGCGGCAGCCTGAAGGCCTGACGTCTCAGTGTGCTCGCCGGAACTCTATCCGCGATTCGATCGGTGACAACGCAGTCCAGCTCGGCCTCGAACGAACTCAGTCGCGACCGGAATCTGACTCGCGCCATCCGATTTAAGACGGACGTCGATCCGAATATGCCCGATATTGACATTTCCGTAGGCAATGTCTTTAATCTCAACTTCGCCACGAATTTATTTGAAATAAAATTTGCCTGCGCTCCTGCATCCAGCAAGGCACGGCATGACATCCGCGAACCGTCCGCGCCGTAAACGTAAACAACCGCTGTTGACAGTAAGGGCTCCGCGCCGTCACCCCCGACCGCGCTGTGCGCGACCACGACGGCAGGATCGCCCGTAATCGGAGTCGAACCGTCCGCCGCTGAGCCGGCGGCCCGCGAATTCTCAATTCCTCTTCCCTGGTTCGAGAGATGTAGCAGAGTGTTATGCTTCAACTTGCATGTCCTGCAGCCGCTCGACGAGCACTCGGCCGCCACGTGATCACGGCTACGCAAGCAATTTAGACAGAGTTTTCGACCGCGCACCTCACCTATGCGCCGATTTACCGGAAGCGTTAGGAATTCCTTGCAAAAGTATATCAAATGCGCACCCCCGCAATAAGTGCATCTTCCCCCCTCGACCGTCGCATGCAGCGCGCGCCGTCTCGAAGTCGATTGCGCCCGCGAACAAATGTCGGAGCGCTCGGAAGCGCTTGATCCCCCCCCCCCAGCCGACTCCTCTAAAATCTGACTGCGATGGGCGAGAAAATCAATTAATTCTTTAAATGCGGGCAACTCCGAGCCCCCCAGGGAGGAATGCCACTCCCTAGATGTTACGTGATCTAATTTGGACGTAATTATATGTATTAACAACGCGTCCCATTTGTCGGCGTTGCAGTCCAATGCAGTTAACGCGCGCACGTGTGCCGCCGCACCGTCCGCCAGCTGCCGAATGCCACTCGCGCTTTCTTTCGTAATCGCCGTTAAATCGAATATCGCTTTTATGTGTGTCTGCACGATTACACGCTTATTGTTATAACGCTCTTTTAAAATATTCCACGCAAGGTCGTAATTGTTATTTGATATCTCTAATGTTTTGACGATGTCGAGAGCTGTACCCGTCAACGACGCCCGTAAATATTGAAATTTTTGTATGTCAGATAATGTTTTGTTATTATGTATGACCGAAATAAAAGTGTCATGGAACGGGAACCATTCCTCGTACTTTCCGGAAAAAGACGGTAAATTTAATTTTGGTAAACGGACGTATGTTGCGGCTTCGCTCTCGGATCGCGCTGATACTGGCGTGGAGGCCCGCGGACTATTTTGACCGCTGTCATTTTGCAATAATCGCCGCATTCTCGCGCACAACGAATATACGTTGTCTTCAAACGCGACTCTGTCCTCTATTTCGACCTCGTCTGTTGCCTCTAATTGCGACTGCACCTTGCAGTAATCTTTCCATATTGGGTCTAAGCGCGCGCGCCTCACTTCCAATTGCGCTCGTGCATCGTCATCTACCGCGTTCACGCTATTCACAAACGTTTTTATCCGCGTGCACGAACCCTTTATTATTCCGCGCTTTCTTTTCAGCGCCGCTATCTCTGATGCCGTCACATTTGACGTCGACGCACTCGCGCTACTTGTACCCGGGCTACGGTCGATCATTTTTTTTTTCTTTTTTCGGTTTACAAACAATTAATAATGACCGACGCGAATCAAGTATTTGCAAATAAATAAATAATTAGGTCACTTACGCAGCGCAAAAAATACGATTAGTGCAGGCTCAAGTACCGCTTACCCAGTTACGTGTCCTCCATCTCTGCCTGGCGTCACGCCGCCCCTCGAGGTGCCGCTCCGACGAATGTCGTCTCTCCCTGCGTGCAGCTCGGCAGGCCCGGTCACCGTCCTCCAAACTGGCTGTCGTCCTGGTACGTGGCCGACACCCTCGCCGTGTATCCGTACTCAGACTTGAGTCGGTTTCGTCTCCTCCGAGACGCCCGACGCCTCCGGAAATTAATCCGGCTCGAAGGACCAAAATGTTTAATAATAATTTGAGAACTGATGCGCCGGTTGTAAGCCGGCGCGTTCTCTACCCAACGTTTTTTATATTGCGAGATGATGTTCCAGCCGTGAGGCCGTTCCTCTGATTGCAGGATGCAACGAAGGATAGATAAACCCGTGTGGAATATCCACACGGAATAATTATTATGTTCCGCTCCTTGTAGTACAGGATTTATTATTGCGGCGTCCAAGTATACCGCTCGTCTGAGTACAAAAGGTTGTTGTCGATACACGCGCAGGTTTATGTATATTTTCGCCGAGAAGTAAGTACAGAGAAGTGTGTCGGAGAAGCGTTTGCTTCTCTATTTATATTTTGGGGCTATCCCCACGTATTTTTATCCGCGAATCGCGTAAGACCATATTTTCGACTAATACTTATATTTTACGATTGGCTATCTTCTGATCGTCGTTGTAAGTACGAAACAGCTTGTGAGAGAAATTCTTTTCCGAAGGATGACGATAATGCGCAATTCGCACATTGGATGTACTCCACTTTCCCTCTCCTAAGCTTTCCTCTCCCCACAGGTGCTTATTGGTGCAGTGACTCCGATTTCGATGAAGAACAATTCATAAGAATTGTAAAGGGAAGTTCCCCGGGCACCCTTATCCCTATGTTCCTTCCTGGCTACGAACACCCGGTAGGATTCCCTGTGGAAATCCTTCAAGCTTTCCTTCCTCCCCCCTCCACCAGAATCACCAACATCCAATGACTTCGACGCACACAAACACACACACACATACACATAAATAAGTAGCTATTTAGTGTATCTATCTTTGTAATATCCAATCGGAACCCTAATATATTTTTAACACTAACTCTCTCTCCCACTAGTCTCGATTGAAGGCCTCCGTACTCATGTATCACCCGCGAATCACACACACACACACACACACACATCCACACATGCATCCACTAGAATTAGCGTATATAATTTAAGAACAATTTTTTTATTTAACGAATAAATAAATTTATTATCTCATGAACCTTCTACTTTTAATTAATTAACCCCTCTGCTCTCTCATTCTTCTCTTCCCAATAATCGCACTAAGTCCCATCCTGAGCAAAAAAGATTTAATTCTCTTGCCAAAAAGGGACCACCGAGAGAACAGCCTCTAAATAGCGTAAAGTGACACTCCCGGTCACTGACCTATTTGGGCCTTCGTACGTTTGCTCGGCTTGAACAAACGCACCGCCAAGCGTTGTTTGATGAATAAGTATTGTTTTGTCCTTCCTTCGACTCTTCCTTTAATTGGGTCTGGACGTAACACATGTTATTTATTGATAACATATATTTATAACATATTATTTATTGATAATCTAAGCAAAAGGAGATATTGAGTGAATCAAATATTTAGATTATGATAGTTTTCTATTAGAAAATTATGATTTATCTTCAATTATCTTCTGAAATATTCCCATTGAATAACGAAAAAAGAACTTCATGGAAGATGGTCATGTTATGACACTCTAATTTTATTAGTTTTCAGGAAATTAGAAAAAATATTGTATAATTATTTCTATGATTATATCTATGAAATATATTTAAGAAATTATAAATATTGTTACGTCCCTGGTTTAATTGCGATCGCTCATTGAGTCTTCTTAGGAATTGAAGATCTGGTTATCAAGAGATTGTGATGATGTTGTTGTTTAACAGTTGTCATTTGGAGTCCGAAATTTGTTGTCATTGTGAGCGGGCGTACAGCCGACGATTTCGATATAATTATTATAATGTTATGCATATTTTAACTTACTTATTAAAATTCTTTTTGTGTTTCTTTTAACATTTGTTTAATAATTTCCCGGCGCGAGTGTGTGTGAGTGATTTCGTGTCCCGGTGCGTCTCGAGTTATTGCAAAGTCAGTCCCGTGAGCGTAATAATATATTAAAATATATTTTTTTCTTTTTCATATATCGCAAAATTGAAAAATTGTGACACATTAAATTATGATAAATAAATATAATATTATTAATATAATCTAATATCTGTAGGAATTTTATTTGTAATGACTTTGTATTATCGTATTTGCGTTCCTGTCAGAGTTAGATTTTTTATTATAGTATTTTAATATTTATTTATATTTATATTTATATTGCATCTATTAAAACGAGACGAGGAATTGTATTCATGCTTTTGTTGTCGCGTGTGACGGTTAATCGCGTATTTTTCTTTATTTATATAGTTGTTAAGTGTGATGTCCACTGATTGGCTCATGTAATATGTACAGAAAAAGTAATTCTCTTTGAAAGGTCCGGCAGAGGCAGAGTGTTGAATTATGCGAAAACGAAAAAAGTGTAAGCCACCTTTTTCGTGAATATTTTAATAAGTTAGGAGTCAGAATAAATACGAGTGACAAATAAGAATGAGTGCTCTCTCTCTCTCTCTCTCTCTCCTCTCCTCTCTCTCTCTTTTCTTGTTTAATCAAATAACTTAAACCCATATTTTTACATATCTAAATACATATTTTAGAAAAGATATCGAACCTAGACAAAACGTTTCACATATTAAAAAATACTAAAAATAACAATATAAATCATCAAGATGCATCACAGAAGCTGACATAGAACATCATTCTTTAAAAAAAGCAGACAAAATTTTTTTTAAATAAATAAGAATATAAATTTGGGAAATAATAAAGGTTTTTAAAAAACTACTCCTCAATGTTTAAAGTCGACCAGACTGGCAATAATTTATTATAAATAATTATTTGAAATACAACAACGTTTCGGCTGTCATTGCAGCCCTTTTCAAGTACATCAAATTTAAAACAGTAAATCAACTTCTATGCAAACTACCGACAATGTTAACGCTTGTTTTGATGAACAATGCAAGACTGACAGAAGTAAGCACATATTAAATAGATGTTAACTGTTCACAAGAATCTTAGTCACTAAGCGTTAAGAAGATAGAGACGAAACTCGGGGGTCTCGTCTCTATCTTCTTAACGCTTAGTGACTAAGATTCTTGTGAACAGTTAACATCTATTTAATATGTGCTTACTTCTGTCAGTCTTGCATTGTTCATCAAAACAAGCGTTAACATTGTCGGTAGTTTGCATAGAAGTTGATTTACTGTTTTAAATTTGATGTACTTAAAAAGGCTGCAATGACAGCCGAAACGTTGTTGTATTTCAAATAATTATTTATAATAAATTATTGCCAGTCTGGTCGACTTTAAACATTGAGGAGTGGTTTTTATTAATTATTACTGGCAACCTTAAGGATTATTATTTAATAAAGGTTTTGTTGAACACGTATAAAAAAAATAATTTATTAAATAGCGAAGAAATTTTGAAAGAAAAATGAATATAAATAAAAGCATAAAAAAAAAATCAAAGTTTAAAATTAATTCAGCCATGAAAGAAAAAAAATATATTAATTAAGAAGTACTTCACCACCGAGTCGGATGACGTGTAGAAGTTCTGATCTGTCGCAACTTCTTCTTCTTCTTCTTCTTTTCCGTTATTGGCGCTTTATCTGTTGCAACTTGTTGGGAACTTGAAGGCTTTCCTCAACATTTTCCTCTGCCAGACTGGCGGAGTGACGGAGACAGCATCTTATGCCATTTTGTTCTGTCTTTTAGAAGACGCAATTTTGACATCTTGTTCCATTTAATTATTAAAAAGTGTCAAGTTAATATATCTTTAGTACTGGCAAGAAAACAATTTGTAACACTTTATACTCTATGTAATATCCTGTATCATATATATAATTAGTATTTTTTTAAGTATTTTTGAGTTATAAGGTTTTGAAGTTAACAATTTTTTGACATAAAATGTAAATATATCTTGCAAAATATTTAGTTTTTGGTAATCATACCTTAATATTTTTATGCACGAAATAATGAGACTAATTAATTAATGTAAAGAAAACACAGTTGCTTTAAAAAGGATGTATGTAATTTGCAACATATCTTTTTAAAGCAATTATGTGTTTTCTTTACATCAATTGATTGCTCTCATTTTTCTGTGTGTAAAAGAATTAAGTTATGATTACAGAAAACTAGATATTTTGCTAAATATTATAATGAATCAATCAAAAATAAAAAAATTTGTATTTTTAGTTAAAAAACTTGGCGCGCTGCTAAGTTACAAAATTACAATGCACCTTAAAGTAACTAATTAATTTAACTACAAATATATTTTTTAACTGCAATAAGTTTTAATTAGTAATATTAATATTTAATATTTAAAAAGTAAAATTAATTAATGAAAGGCTCGTATAAATTAACAAAATTAAACAATTCAAATATAGTAGGCCAACTAAACGAGCAAATAAATAAGATGTATAAAAATTTATTAATAGTTAAATAATTAAATTAACATTCCGTTACAGAACATCGGGAAAAAGGACTTGTTAAAACGATAATGTAAGTTGAAGATTTTTTAATTTTCTCTGACATTGATTCAATTCGCGTATTATATCCGCAGCATGTTTAAATGTCGCATAACTTGGCATCTCAGACCAATCGCCTTGCACATCTATTGGTCACAGCGAAGAATTTTTTAATTTTATTTTTAATATTTAACTAACTTTGTATTTTTAACATTTAACTTTGTATTTTAATATTTAACTTTTATGTATTGATAAAGACTGTAGTGCA